TGATAAAATTTCGGAAGAAGATCTTTTGTCGCACTTGCACACATCCGTACTTCAAATGAACAATTAATTGACTTAAGGATATGCTTTCGCTTGGTCGAAGCCGAGGTTCTATCCCCCGGTACGGTCATTCTAAGAACCTACTCGCAGGGAGCTGAGAAGGTCTGCCGTGGCGCGCGCTCAGCGCGCCGCGCTGAAGTCGTGAATCAAGGTTGAGAATCAGAATCAGGGTTTGGTACCGGGGATCCGGACCCCCGGTACAGAATCAAGATTAATCCCCGTGTTAAACTGTGAACTGTGAATCTGCAGCTTTGAGGTCGAGTGTAGAGGGATGATTGCATCCTAAAACGAAGTATTGTGTTTGTTTCTGTGCCAGTTGTCATTTTGGCTGTTGCTCCGTGTCGCAGTGCATATCTTAGCCTAGCGCCAAGTGAGCCTACTATTGATTATATTGATAGATAAGTTCTTCCTACAAGTCCTCTAGTTGTGGCGTTCCCTCAATGGGAGATAAGGAAGGCGTACCGACCCTCAACATGGCGCTCCACGATGGGTCTGCTGTGCCTACTCCCTTAGTCGCCCGTTGTGAGGAACTGCGTACTAAGAGGGGTGGACTTCGCCGACAGAGAGGTCGGTTACGGTCTCAGTTGCAGGCTATCAAAGAGGACATCCAGGTGATCTTAGCTGTTCCTGACAACGCTGAAGACCCTACGGTACTTGAGTTAGAACGACGAGAGAAGGTTCACGAAGAAGAGCTGTTGGTGATTGAAGGAGAACTGGTTAAGGTGGAGGCCGACCTTGCGGAGTGCCTATCGGTTCGGTCTCGAGAGGGGTCTATTAGAGGTCTTGATACTGAGGTTGTTGGTGGAGCTGCTGTCCCGACGTTGACTGCCGGGGCATTAGCAGGATTACCATCCGGTGTTGAAAACACTCGGGATGGTCGAGTGAAGATACTACCCCCGGTTGTTGCCTCTGGTGGATCACCGTCATCGCCATCATCATCATCATCATCATCATCATCATCATCATCGCCCTCGGCCTTAACTTCTCATGGTCCTATACCGGACTATCGACGATATTCTTACGCGCCGGATCCCCCTTTGGCGTATTACGCTGGTAGACGTGTCCGAAAGGGGCGTATTTTGACTGCTGATGCTGTTGGTAAAATCCGTTTTCCCAAACTCACTGATCGGTTTAAACTCAAGGCTCATCTGGGTGCCTTTGGTCGTCTGCTAGTGGAGGCTGGTGGCGGAATACATATGAGCAGTCGTGGCGAGGAACGTTTCGTCCCAGTGAAGACCCTTGAGTGTACCATCACCATTGCATTCTTAGCAACTCTTGAGGAGAAGAAGGTCAAGGAAGCTGCCCTTGAGAGTTGGTGATAATGCCTACAGGTGGCAGTCCTTGGTAGATCCCCACCAAGCAGTTCTGCTCTCGGCTAC